GGCTTTCTAGTACTTGCCCAACCATGTTGGCCATTTCTCCGCCGGTGATGTTATTGGGTACATAAGCCTTGCTTAACACTTTCACTAAGGCGTTCTTGTGTGCCTCTGAATTCTGCAATAGTGATAGGATAGATATTTGAGCAGGGACTTTGTTCGGATGATCAACAACAGAGTACTCCTTCGCCTGTACTTTCCTCCACAGGTCGTCTGGCCCAGTCTCGATGATAGGTTGCTTAGCAGTGGCCTCCTTACTTGAACCTCCTAGGTGTTCAGGTGTATAGACTCTTACGGTCCTAGTCATTCCTTGTGCCGCGTCAGATTCCTCTACCTTGGCCTTCCCTTTCCGCCGAGCCTCGTCGACATAATCCCAGGGTATTGCTTTTGAGTTGAATCGGGGTGTGGTTGTCACTGTCACAGTGAAGGGTGTGAGGACTTCTACTTCGAATGGAGTGGGGGTGGCTGCGGGCGGAGCCACTTCTACCTCGAATGGATCGGATGCAGTTACCTCAACCTCGATTGGTACCTGAGTCTGAACCACAATGGGGGTAAGTGTGACTGCAACCTTAGAGTCATCGCCTTCCCGAATAAGCCCGATCGACCCCTCAGGGTCCCATTCTTCATTTGTCTCTATCACATGTATGCCATCACCTCTGTCAGGGAGGGGATTGTTGCGGACATTAGGTGCGGCTTCCTTTGCTTGTATGACCTCGTTGTCAATTAGCGTTTGGATCTTATCCTTCAATGTTTGATATGTGGGGGATGATGCTTGGTATGAGGGTGGAGGTGTTTGGTAGACAAGTGGAGATTTTGGGCCCCGGGCTACCATTACTGCCCCAACATCTCTCTTCTTCGATATGCCACCTGACTGTAGTGCTTTATTCGTGGCTTGTAGATCCTCGAAGTTTGTTACCATTCCGCTCTTGATCCCTTCTTCAATCCTTTCTCCGAGTTTGATGATGTCAGAGAATTTGTGATTTTTGATAACCATTAACCTCTCGTAATATTGCAGGTCCTGTGCCCTGACGAAGAATTTGTTCATCTGTTCTACGTCCAAAGACGGCCTGACCTTGGCTGCTTCTGACCTCCAGCGAGTAGCATATTCACGGAAGGTCTCGGTAGGTTTCTTCTTAAGATTCTGAATGTAGAAGACATCCGGTGCATTCTCTGTGTTGAACCTGAACCGGTCCATGAAATCCGATGCCATGTTTACCCAATTGGACCACTTCCTGGGGTTTTGGCTGATATACCAAGCAAAGCATCCCCAATAAGGCTCCTCATAAAGAGCTTCATTCGAATCTTTTCATCTTTCCCGACCCCGACAAGCTTGTCGCAATAAGTCCTTAGATGAACCCTAGGATCACCTGTACCATCGAACATTTCGAACTTGGGAGGTTTGTACCCCTCTGGTAGTTCGACATCCGGCTGTATGCATAGATCTTCATAGTTCAAACCTTCTATTCCTCTGTTGCCCTCAACACCTTGAACTTGGCTTGTTAACTTCTTGAGTTTTTCAGCCATGTTTTTGATGAGCAAGTCCTTCTCAGAGGTTTCCGGTGTACAGGAGATTGGCTGGGTAGAATGAGGTATAGTTTCCACATAGATGGGGTTGCTTTGATGGGTGCTGGGAGCTTCGGTGTAGTGGTGGTCATTGATGGAGTTTTGTGGATCAGGAATGAGTGGTGGTGTGTTTTGGGAAGTGTGGTAAGTGGTGGTTGACGGGTTATGAATTGGTTGATGGTGTTGTTGCGTCGGAGCTGGTAATGGGTTGGGATTCTGGGGTGGAGTTGCGTATTGATTTGGTGCGGGAGGATTTTGTGGGTGTTGGTTTTGTGTGCTTTGAGGAGGTGCTGGGTTCTTAGCATTCTGTTGGTTGATGTCGGGGACATTCAGGGTAAGTTACAGGTTTTCCAAGTTGCGAACTTGCTCAAGTTCTCCTTGCAGTTCTAATATCTTTTGTTCCAGTCTTAAAACCAGATCATTTGGGGCCGAAGTGCTACGGCCATCGGAGGTTTCCGTATTCTCAATATTCTCCTTTCGGATACCACTTAAATCATCCATCTTTGCCTTTCCTTTGCCTTATGTGTTGCTTGGAGGAGGAGGAGGTGGAGGGCCTCTAGATCTGGTGAGATATGCTGATGAGGCTAGTATGATCGAACCAACCTAAGGGGATGGGAATAATAATAAAAATAAGCAAAAACAAAGGTAACAAGTCAGTGAGGATCCTGAAATATTTGTAGTATTTAAACACATATTGCGGAAATATAAATTCGCGTCCTAATTTGGGAGCCTCGTTGTGCCCGAGGTAGGCCTAACGACAAGTAGATTTGGAGAACTTTTAATTCCAATGAATGCTTCATTTCATAATAAAAATAGACGAATCCCAAATCGATACTAAGATAATAGAAAAATATAAATTACTACTGGCACTTGGCCTTATTACATTTGAAAAGCAAGTAAACCTAATCTATTTGGTCTCGGAAGGATTTTCTTCAAGCTGAATGCTCTCGTTGATCAAATCCTCCAGTTCGCGTAGGTTCATCTGTAAGAATGCCTTTGCCAAATGTCCTCCTTCGTTTCCCTCAGCGTTTTGGTAGTTGGTGACTCTCTTCCTCACTTTTCCTTCCAATTCCAACATGCTGTACTCCAGATATTCTAGCTTTTCGCTAGTCTTGACGGCCCTTTCTTTCCATTCATTGATTTGGTCATTTGATGGAAGATTCCTCCACAAGTCTAGAAAGAGTGAGGGTATGCTAACCATACCGAAGCTGGGGACCTCGTGCCTCATTTCCTGCAAAACAAAAGGTTAGACCTTACCCCCACCAGACTCGACTATTTATACATTCGTGATCAACATATCGGCATTTAGTTCTCCAAATTAATGCACAGAACGTGGTTGTATCCGTTGGGATTATGGAAAACCCGATGGACTTTGGATAAGGTTATCCTAAAGGATCATTATGCGGACAACATAACTGATCCGGCTAGGTTTGACCATGATGCATGCACAATTTCGACCAGAGTAAGGTTTCTATGGGGTTTTAGACTGGTACCCTCGAACGGACAACTCGAGGGGGATGGCACGGAACCGTCGACTGCATCGGTGATCGATTGATTTTACCGCAAATAAGCCTTTCCGTATTTAAGGGTAGTAAATAAGAAGAGCGCAACCACTCATTATAGGATTTGATACGCATGAGTGGAATATGATGTGGAGCATGATTTATGCAGCAACTAATAACATGTAGTCAAGTATTTTCACGTAAGGAAAAATAAATACAGTATTTAAACAATTGAAAGACAGTTACAGAAAGGAAACAAAGCGATTAGTCAGTTTCAAGAATAAAGAACAATAAATGCTTAAAAGAAAACATACAGTCAAAAATAAGGGAAGAGGGTACGGGATAAAGCATGCTTGGACTAATTTATAAGAGCAAGTTCGTCATGGTAAGAGCCTAATTATCCCCAGCAGAATCGCCATGCTGTCGCGCCCCCTTTTTTCCTCCTCGCGGAGAACGTCCGGGTTTCGACATTTCATGGGGGAACAACTCTTTTTCTTTTGGGAATTGGGTTTTTTTGAAGAGTCGCCACCTAAAGAATTAAGGTGCGTTAGGGCACCTAGAGTAATTAACTCCTATCCATCTTGTAAATAAGGCATATCTTGTCTAGGCAAAATTTTGGAAATGATACCTTTATTTCCGTGTCTTCCAGCTACTTTATCGCCTACTTTGATTTCACGTTTCTGTAAAATATATACACGAATCGTTTCGGGATTATAACTAGAACCACCCCTTTTCTGGATCCACCTCACATCAATAACCCGACCCCTGCCACCTATAGGTAGTTTTAGACAAGTTTCTTTTGAAGTAGATACCTGAATACCAAGTATAGCTCGTAACAATCTATCTTCCGGGGCATACGACGATTCTTTCACGACCTGGGGTGTTAATTTACCTACTAAAATATCACCCGTCTCTACCCAAGATCCCAGCATCACAATTCCATTTTTATCTAAATTGCGGAGTAAATGGGCTTCTAAATGCGGTATTTCATTAGTTACTTTTTCAGGGCCTTGGCTTGTCACATGAGTCTGAATTTCATATTTCCGTATGTGAAAAGAAGTATAAATATCTTCATATACCAAACGCTCGCTAATAAGTACTGCATCTTCAGAATTGTAACCCTCCCACGGCATATAAGCTACTAATACGTTTTTCCCCAAAGCCAAGTTCGCCACCAACCTAGCAGCACCATCCGCTAAANTTGCCTATTATTTTTTTTTTTGGAAGCCTGTTAGGATCAGAAAGGCATTAAGCAATAGAAACAGTTTCAGAGTTGCAGTTTTGAAAACGCCCTAAAGGCTTGCCTATACGCGGAGTACTAACAATTACATTTTATAGTAAAACAAGGCAGATTTTAAAACTGACTTTTAAATCCCTCTGGGCATGCTATCTGTAGACATGTGATTTTTGACCCTCCCCAAGATTTTTTATATTTTAGCATGTAAATATTTAATGTAGGCCTAATATAGCTATCTTAGCCATTTTTGACTTCTTTCCTTTATTGTCGTCATAAAAATGGAAAATTACAAAAAATATTTTAGCTTACGGATCTTTCATAAATTTAAATAAGAATTATACAAAAATAGTACCTTATTTTTATCTTTACATAATCTTGAAAATACAAAAAATATATAATAGTTTCATGTTAGATTTTGCACTATGTAGTATTTTCATCTTATTTTAAAAGGAGTCAATTAAGGTGTTGGATCACAATTTTAAGAGTTTTAGAGCCAAATTCTTGACCCAATTCGGATTAGTCCATTAAGCCTAGGGACCCTTCTACACTCTTCTTTGGAACAAAACAAATAAAAAAAGACTCTAAGGACTTAACACAAAAAAACCTAGGGACTAATTGGCAAAATACACAAAAATACACATAAACCTAGACTCTACCTATAAAGTAATGCTGAAAATTAGCAAAAAAGGGGACTGAAAATCAAAAGCGCCGCTTGACACAAAAAACGACCCCCCTGATCGTCTTCTTCATCTTCCTCGCCCCACACGACCCCTTTCCTCTTGACCACTGAACTTCAGCCTCCAATTACCCAACGACCACCCACTGAGCTGAGCAACCCAACAGTCGACAAATACAAAAGAATAAGATCGAAGATGCTTATTTCTGCCTCTTCATTCCCTTTTCGATTTTGAAAATAAAGAAAACAGAACCAAAAATATACAAACGAAAGTATTTTGCTGCTTCCTCTTCTCAGTTTCAATTTTCGTTCTCAAATTATGGAATGTGATTGAGTGGTGGTCGTGTTCGAGTTCGAGTCCAGCGCCGATTGAGGTGTTTGTCCGTAGTTCCAGTTGCGGCTGACGATCTCGGAGTCAACTCTGTATGATTTTGCGGTGTAACTCAAAACTTGGAGGGTTTTTTTTTCAAATTCGTGAGTATTAAAGGAAGATTGTTCTTCAGGTCCAACTCTTTCTCTATTGTCTTATTCTCGTCACTTCCATGTGTGTTTTTGGTGATATGATTTTGGTGGTTTGTTTCGTAAACTGATACTTTATATTCCGTTTTGTACTGTGGTTCAACATGTTTCTGGAACGTGTTCATTGTGATTACCAGCCGTTTATGGTTATGATCAATGTTCTTAAGTTTCTATTGTTTGGGAATGCTGATTGATTAAGTGATTTTCATATCTATTTGTTTGATTTGTTCAGTTCTGGTTCGAATGAAGGGCCTTGTATGATGACAATTGAGGACGGTTTGCTAATCTTATGGCTAGTTGTTCTTGTATTTTTTTATGTTAAAGATTGAGGAATCTGTATCTATATACACCTCTTGTTCGTTTGCTAATGTAAATTTAATTGTCCAAGAAAGCTTACATCTTACTCCACATATTTGTTTTAGAAATTTTGTTTAAATGTCTATGATTTGGTTTCTTTTCCTTGTTTGATAATTGAAATGTGATGATAACTAGTAGTAACAGAAGGATACGTGTTTGGATAACTTATTAATTAGATTAAAATTTAACATAGTATTTTTAAAATTAGATTAAAATAGGAGCACTTTTAGTTTGCCTTTAAAATATATAACCCTTTTCTTAAAATAATTTGAGGTGCGCCGCACCAAATAAAATCCCAAATGCGTGGCCCTCATTTGACTATTTCTTTTAAATCCTTAGAATCGAGGCATGCCATTTAGCGAACTTTCATAACTCTCGCAAAGTTAAAACGGGTAGTTGCTTTAGGCGCATTGTTTTAATAATTTACCTTCCTAAACTCGGGTGTGCATTTCATGTGACCCAAATCCTAATCTTAATAACGTTGAATAAAAATGTGTTTCGGATTGCGGGTGCATTTCATGTGGCGCGGTCCAAAGACATGTTTTAGACGACGTTAAATCTTCCTTAAAATGATTAAAAAGCGGTTTAAAGTTAAAATTGCACATAGGTTTAAATTGTTTTAAAATCAGATAATTAAGCTGAATATAACAGATGAGCGGCCGTGCTAGAACCACGGAACTCGGGAATGCCTAACACCTTCTCCCGGGTTAACAGAATTCCTTACTCGGATTTCTGGTTCGCAGACTGTAATACAGAGTCAATCCTTTTCCTCGATTCGGGATTTGAACCGGTCACTTGGGACACCATAAATCTCCCAAGTGGTGACTCTGAATTTTTAAATAAATAAATCCCGTTTCGATTGTCCTTTAATTGGAAAAAACTCCCTTTATTATACCCTTCCGGGGAGTAGTAAAAAAGGAGGTGTGACACTATCTAATAACAGGTTAAGGCAGTTTTGAAAGACTTGTTTGAGGAAATATAAACTACTTAATTAAACCAATTTAGAAGTGAACTAAACGATAACTAGATTGAGTTATTTAAACTAAACTTAGGCAAGATCCATAGGCAGGATTTTGTAGCGCTTCCCTATAGGCATGACGTCTAGGTTTAATACTGACTTTAAAGACTTGTAGGCATGGAAACATACATAAACACTTGCTATAACAGAATCTGGGTTAAATTACATCCTATAGGCATGGCATCTACTTGTTAGACTGATTTTAAGACTTGCAAACATGAAAACATACATAATCACTTGTCATATCAAAATCTAGATTAATTCCTATAAGCATGATTTCTAACATGGTGAGACAAACATGGCACGATGTAAAAATCCTATAGGCATGTTTTCTACTCGTATTACCCCACAAACATGTAACTACCCATCCCTTTTTTACTAATTACCCCAATATCTGTTTACAAATTATTACAGACCATATGAATGAATTACATAAATAAATAAGAAAATAAGAAGTTATTCTATAGGAAGCCTTCAATTAGGCCCAGATTTCCAAAGCCTTCAATAACCTCAAATGCCAAAATTCCATAGACAATGTTATAGTCCATGTGCATCAGAGTTCCCTAAGGATCTCAAGGATCCCGGGAAGTGCTTACACCTAGACTTGGTAACCAAATTGAATAAGTGCAGTGTGGAAGGGCCAGCCTCAGTATGCCAAAGTTCAGAGGGTTCTCAAGAGGATCCCAAGGCAGTACACACACTGGAGGGGGCAGAACCTATTGACTTAGGAGTAGAGTGAAAGTGCTTGACACAAGTTAAAAGATTTTAGTGAAAAACTGTATGACAAAGGGAGTTTGTTTGCAAGTAATTTAGTAAAAAAAAACCACAGAGGCAGTTTGAAAAGAGATTGGAGTAATGAACAGAAGTCCAAACACAACACCTTTAAGACAGGTTCATACACAGCCAGGAGTCACATAACCAAAGCAAGTTCAGTAGTCACAAACAGGGGTGTGACGACCCGACCCGTCGTCTCAGGAGTTACCGCCCCCGTTTCCCCCATTTTATGCTTCTTCATGTTTCATTATCAGTAATTGGTGTGTTAGAGTTGATTTGGATTGGTTTTGGTAGGAAATGAGACACTTAGTCTCTTTAAGGAAGGCTTGGTTTGGAAAGCCAACCGGAGGTTGACTTATGAGTTATAGGGCTCGGATGTGATTTCCGGTGATTAGGTTAGCTTTGGGGGATGATTTGTGACTTAGGAACGTGATCGGAATTGATTTTGGAGGTCCGGTGTAGAATTAGGCTTGAATTGGCGAAGTTAGTAATTTGGCGAATTCCGGTTGATAGGTGAGATTTTGATCCGAGGGTCGGAATGAACTTTCGAGAGCTGCTGTAGCTTCGTTATGTCATTTGTGATGTGTGTGCAAAATTTCAGGTCATTCGTACATTGTTTGGTCGGATTTTTGATCGAAAGTGTGTTTCGGAAGTTTTTGAGAAACTTAGGCTTGAATTCGATGAGAATTGATGGTTTTAGTGTTGTTTAAAGTGTTTTATAATCGGAACAAGTTTGAAATATGTTTTAGGATGGGTTGGCACTTTTGGTTGAGGTCCTGGGGGCCTCGGGTGAGATTTGGGTGGTCAATCGGACCAATTTTGGCACTTGAGAGTTGCAGTTTTTTTTCCAGTTCTTATGTTGCAGAACTTTGGCCTTCGCGATCGCGAGGGTGATGTCGCGATCGCATAGGAGATATTCAGGAGGCTTGAGATTTGTTCATCGCGTTTGCGTTTGGGCATTCGCGATCGCAGAGGGTCGGAGGTTGAAGCTTCGCGATCGCATTCAGTTGTTCGCGATCGCGTATAAGGTTTTGGAGTCCAGGTTAGTTCTTCGCGTTCGCAAAGTATGGAACGCGTTCGCATAGTTGTGAAGGTTGGACCTTCGCATTTGCAGGGGCGTCCTCGCGTTCGCATAGCACATTTTTTGGAAGCTTGGGAATTTTCTCTTCGCGATCGCGTGCATGAGGCCGCGATCGCATAGAAGTAAAATATATAGCTGGGCAGAATGTTTTAAAAGCTCATTTTCGCGATTTTGGGTCATTTTTCCTCCATGGTTGACCATTTTGAGAGCTTCTTGGTGGAGATTAAAGAGGGATTCAAGGGGAATCGATTCGAGGTAAGATTTTCGATCTCAATACTCGTTTTTATTATGAAATCCACCTGGAAATTCATGGAAATTAAGCCTAAAATGGAAGAACTAGGGCTTGGAATTTTGGGATTTTAATTTGGGATTTGATGGGTCATTTGAACTCGGATTTGGGAGTTCTTGATATGTATAGACTCGTGGCGAGGTAAGGAACTTGTTGATGTAAAAAGTTCTGAGTTTCGAGAAGTGGGCCCGGGGCTCTGGTTTTGCAAATTCCGTGATTTTTGATATTTTTCGAGTCTTTTCGATTGGGTTATGTTCCCTTAGCCAATGGTGATATATTCGCTCTGATTTTGGATAGATTCGACGCGCGTGGAGGCCGATTTGAGGGGTAAAGGCGTCGCGAGCTAGAGATTTCAGTTGTTCGAGGTGAGTAATGATTGTAAATGATACCCTGAGGGTTTGAAACCCCGGATTTGCACACCATAGTGCTATATTGAGGTGATTTACACGCCGGATAGTGAGCGTAGGGTAGAGCACCGTTGAGGATTGTGACTTGGTCCGTCCCGATTGATGATTTTATCGCGTATTTGACTGAAACATATTTGTTATTATCATGATTTGGGCTGATTGCCATATTTGAGCTTCGTGCCAACTATTTGAATCCTTCGGGGATTGTTATCACTGTCTCCTCATTGTTTTGACTTATTACTTGAACTCAGTCATACTGTTTCTCCACTATTTTACAACTCAGCCACTTTTATTCTATTTGAGTCTTAAATGATATTTTAAATGATAATTCGGGCTGAGAACTACTGTTTTACTAATGTCGAGGGGCTTGTGATGATATTCTGACTGAGTGTGGCTGTGGGCCAGATGTGAGGATACATTGAGTGATATGAGGCCGGGGGCCTGGACGTGAGGGTTTTTTATTATGGATCGGGCTGCACGCCGCAGCGATACTTATATGGATCGGGCTGCACGCTGCAGTGGTATACATATATATATATATATTGGATCGGACTGCACGCCGCAGTGATATAGCGCTTGGGCTGTAGGAGCCCCTCCGGAGTCTGCACCCCCACAGTGAGCGCGGGTACCCATATGAATCGGGCTGCACGCCGCAACGAGCTATGGATCGGGCTGAACGCCGCAACGATATGTGGATCGGGCTGCACGCCGCAGCGGTTACTATATGATACTGTTCTGAGAGTGATCTGAGAGAGGGAGCCCGAGGGGCTGGTACAGTTTGAGATATTGTCCGAGGGGCAAACTTTTATGTGCTCATCTTGCATACTTAATTGCCTTTTTACCTGTTATACTGTGGTATTTGTGCTCGAGGGGCAGATTTTCTGTGCTTATCAGCACTAACTGTTTTAAAATCGTTTTCGAAATTATTGAAAAGATCATTTTCAGAAGAGATTTGAACCGAGCCAAGGTATTTATAAAGATTTCACAGATTTCACTATTTTTCTCAGAAAATTGTACCCGGCTTCTATACAGCATGTTGGTTGCTTTACGTGATTTCTTGCTGCTCAGTTATTATCTACTTTTATTACTCACTGAGTTGGAGTACTCACTTTACTCCCTGCACCTCGCGTGCAGATGCAGGTATTGTTCACCCGGCAGCGGGTTTTGAGCTGGTTGAAGATTTTGCTATCGTAGCTGAGTAAGGTGACCGCCAGCGTTCGCGACACCGGATTTTCTTCCTTTGATTCTAAATTCTATTCTGTATATTATTGGCCTAGTAGTTGTATTTAGACTTCTCTAGATGCTCGTGACTTGTGACATCCCGGTTTAGGCTGTATCGGGATGGTTCTACCATTATTATCTAAGTTTTCGTAATTGTTATTAAATCATGCTTCATAATTTCTTAGTGGTGATTAACTGCTTAAAAGAGGTGTTCTGTATTGGTCTAGCTGGCCTTGTCTTCACGAAAGGCGCCATCACGAC